TTTTTTTTGCGGTTCTTAGCAGATGTTTGACCAGATCGTTTTTTTCCAGTTCCAATTTCAATCAAATGAGACAATGTCGTATCCTGTTTAAACATGTCTTTTTGTGAGCAAAACTTTTCTCGGAAGCGTCTAAAACTTTCGACAGGAATATTTTTAAATGCAAGTTTTTTGTTTTTGCCGTGCGTAGAGGGAACTTCGAAACCGTAAAGTTCACACAAACTGTGAGAAGATTCCCTCAAATAACATAATTCAATATACCGCTGCCGCGATGTTACCCTCCATTGTCTCGATCAACTATATGCTCTTCATCCATGAGTAACGCTTTGCCAACTGTGCAGGATACGACACGATTAAAATAATACGGCACGTGCCCAAAGAGAAGGCTATACTAACCGCCTATACAAAAAATCTGAACTAACAAGTGTAACAAAGTCTATTTGCTTGTCCATACATGGAGATAAACGTATACATTCCAGCGACATCTTTTGTCCAATTTCAAAAAAACTATACCTGACGCCCTTTGAAAGTCTGCTCCTCTATTATAATTTCCTACTAATGTTAACATGTATGGAATATTGTGGCGTCAGCAGCATACGTGCTTTATTGGCTCAGATATCGCATATCAACAGGAAGCTATATGCATCTTGATCGCTACTTCCCTTGTAATGGACGCGTAGATATAAATCAATGAATTATAAATTATAGAACCGAAATCATATATAGCTTAAACTTAAGATAAAGATACATTTGGTGAAACAAAGAAAGAGTAAGATAATTGGCATTTCCGACAATACTTTGCATCTTTAAAATTTACGAAAACTTTCAACACTAGTCATCAATAATGGTTATCCCAGATACCTGATTAACATAATTTTGTTCAGCACTCCTTCTGTTACACCTCTGCCAAACATGGGTGATAATAATAATCCACCCCTTCCAATATTAACAATGACAATCATTCCAACAATACAGATGCTGCCTCCAATTCCAGAATTAATTTTGCAGTCCTGCCGCATATCAAGGACCTAACGCCGAAACTTTCTAGACTGTGCAACACTTTAGATTGTATTGCTTACAAATCTTCCCTTACAATCAACAATATCTTCTTCAAAATGAAAGATAGAGTTCCACTTCTTAGCTTATCCAACATTGTCTATTGTATCTATTGGAACAACTGCAATCTCACATATACAGGTCAAACTTCGAGATTGCTTAAAGGTAGAGTAACCTCACATGAAAGTGATTCCAGTCTTCATCCAGAAAGATGTGCTCTGGCTTCACATGTCAACACCACACGGTATTCAATGGGGACTTAATGACGTCCTTGACAGAAAAACCATCCATTCAAACGTTTGTTCCTAAAAATGTCTCACATCTTTATTACTGCAACTGCATGAACAAGAAAGTAGAGATGTTAGCGTCTTCTACGAATATCTGTTGAACTGCGAAAAATTGGAAAGACCTCATATCTCTCCCAACATCGATCTTTCCCAATAATCGCATTAATTGCATAATTTCTTCGTCATTACCTAACACGGTGGAAGGATAACATCAAAAAACACCCTCCATCCATAATGATATTTATTAATTTGAAAATAGATCTTGAACTTCTTTTTATGCTGTAACCACCTTCATCTTAACACTTCCATACAAGGTAGGCAACACATCGTAGGTCTTCTATCCCTTTCTTTCTCTCTCTCTCTCTCTCTCTCTCTCTCCTTTTTTCCCTTGATCGATGGTGTGTCAATAATGTGAACGTCACACGTCACTCATCCATTTCGTCAGTTTCAGCACGTGGTAAAGAGGAAGTGGTTTCCGGTAAAAATTATTGTTCGAAAGTTTTTTCAATAAGTTAATAAATCCGTCAGTGTTTTCTTGAAAAAAGCAAGCATACTATAGCTATGGTTTTACCAATAATTATTAATTAAAATAAGCTCTTACTAATTTAACCTCAACAATTCAGCTTTTTGCTCATTAACTATGTGTTGTCTTCTACTTTGTTCTAACAACAATTTCAGCAACAAATCTCACCGACTCAGTAAGTAACGATACTCCTTTCAATTATATATTGTTGCTACTTTCCAAAATTTGTCCTAGTCCCTTGACGATGATGGCATAGACCGTCGCAAGCTTGACTTTAAGTTAATGGCATACTTCTGCAAAACTTTTTCTTCATCCCAAAGAATTTCAAGGATATGTATATATACACCTTAGGAAAAACCATTGTTATACATGGGAAATCATTGCTTGTGCTAAGTTCTCTGTGTACACAATGAATCTATATTAAAATAAATAAAACTTAAATTATGAAAACGGCCTTTAAAGCAATCTGACGGCATATTATATACCTAGCTCTCTTCGGGTTGCTGCAAAAATGATGTATATGGAGTATCTGCTAGTAAATGATATGCAACTATGTTTTTTGCGTGATAAAAAACTGTTTGAAATAACAAAGGCTATGGTAGAGTTGGAATATATCATTTAATGCGAAGGATCTCATGATTTTCTTGATCCAGACCAAAGAACCTGGTGATATGAAAAACATTTGTCTATGGATTTTGTATTCAAATAGTGCAGGAGAACCTAGTGTAAAATATGACTCAACAACAACGATAAGTAACATAAAAAATAAACATGAATGTTGCAACAACAACGATAAGTAACATAAAAAATAAACATGAATGTTGTGGCACAGGAAAAAGGCTGGCTTGAACTGAAGTGAAATTTTTGCAGAGCACCAATTGAACCAGTCAATCTTATAAACAAGGACTTAAAGACCTTTGGTAATATAAGTTATTGCACAATATCTTTATAATACAATAAGAGTTTGTGTATCTCGGGAATACATTTTGGGGACGAATCAGTAGGTGTTCTTCACTAAGGCTTGACATTTGGGACAGACAGAAGAGTTGTTAAGCATTCTGTTCAGATCTATATACAATAATTTCTTAATTTCAAGGCTTTCTTATTTTACTACTTTACACGAGAAACAATAAACGTATGGGCCTACTCAATACGGTAAGAAATCAATAGGATAACCGAAATTTCTGATTCTGACATATCATACCATTAGCATCAATTATAGTCTGAAACCATCATGGCATGGAAATTCTGAGTTATTCTGGTCCAATTTGGTCCCATTCCTGCATATAACATCTTGTAGCTGTCGTTCGACCGAAATTTTACTTTTTCAAGCCTTCAGGTCCAGCAAGTAGCACAAATGTTCAATGGGATTAGTATCTGGGGATTTTGAGTTGGGCAGGAATATTGTGAAGTAACCATTCTTTTGTTTGTGTTTAAGATCATTATCCTGTTGAATGAAAGATAAATGTTTCCCTGATCCCCATTTTCCAGTGCTGCTCTGCATGTTATTATGCAAAATAATAGACTTGTCTGCATTCATAGTACTTTCGATGAACTTAGGTTTTCAACACCATTCCACAGCATACAGACCCAGACTAAGACGCTGTCCCACCATGCTGCATTGCTGGACCGACATACCTCATTTCAAATTAAGTATTTTAAGTTTTCTTCAAACATATTTGTGACCATAAGCTCCGAAACCTCGAAGATTAAAGTAAGATCAAGATGTAAGGTCTGATGGCGGCAAAAATGCATGGAGAAAAAATAATACTCAATTTGAAAATGAGACATATCAGCCCAACAGTGGAAATTGATGACGGGAGCGTTTTAGTTAGCCTGGGGCTAAATGATGTGGAATGGTGTTGGATATCTAAGCTTCATCAAGGCATTATGAATGCAGACAAGTATGTTAACTTTTGCCCAAAACATGCACACCAGCGCTGAGAAAATTGGGGATCAAGGAAACATTTATGTTTCAACACACTGTTACTAAAACAAAGGAATAGTTACTTTACATTGTTTTTGCACAATCCTCCAATCCCGAATATCAATCCCATTAAACATTTTCGCTTCTTGCTGGACCTGAATGCCCGAAAAAATAAAATTTCTGCGGAACTACAGCTACAAGATGTTCTGCAGATATCGTTCCTGATTAGATCAGAATTAGCTCAAAAATTATATGCCAGGAAATCTTCAGGTCGTAAATGATGCAAATCCTATGATGACAAAGTACTAGCTGTGAATAAATTTTGTTAAAACTTATTTACTTGTCTATCTTGGAGTGCGTTGAATTCCATAATTCCTATTATTATTCTATTGTTTCTAATTTGCTTGAACTATTGCCATTAAAATTACTGTGTGGAAGTTAGCCTTCAAATAAATGTAGTGACAAAAAAATACCTTTTCGTTACTGAGATTGAAGAAAAAATGGAGTATGCTGTATGTTCTAAAAACTAGAAAATCTCATAGATGCAATCAATTTTAATTCAGTCATTTTCAGGGTCGAAAACCCACCCTTGTCCTTTGAAGCTTGATATGGGATAAGGGAAATAATGAAATAAGGGAGCCTTGAAGTAGATGATTATGCGAGGTAACAAGGAGGCCTCAGATTAAAAAGATTGCCTACTTCGTTGAGAAAAATCTGAAAGATATGTCAAGAATGACTATGCCTTTGGTTTTTAGACAATATGAATAGAATCTTGAAATCATAGGACTGGTCGAAAAATCTATTGAGAACATTTTAAGACAACTATATGCATGTATTTTAAAAAAGTGATGTACCCCAACAATTCTTAAATCATATAAACAAAGCTTCTTGTCAAAACATATCTGACATGCATAAGGTGACATTTGGTTCTTAAAATGATCTATATCCACTATTATATAGAATTCTGACAAAAATATTTACAAGCTACAGAAAGATCAGAGGATAGATTCAATACAAATATATCAATCTACCCACTGTGTATTATGAAGCAGCATAAATAACTTCCTGTAAATATATTTGCCCTTTCCAGTTGCTTGGCGCGAAAACGCTATTTGTATGATGTGACAAGAAGCAAACTCTAACCTCATTTACGCCGCGAAAATAGACAATAGAGCTCGATATTCAAATTTCCTAAATATAAAAATTACGTCTATAGGCACTTCAAAGGAACGTGGTATATGATAAAATTACTAGAAAAATACTGCGTCTTATCCAGGAATGTTGTATATATGTTGTTTAGTTATTCTAGTATCACATTTCTTTATCAGACTATACCACATTAGGTTCTGCAGCATTTTGACGAACGTAGAAGAACCGATCGATCTTATTCCAGGAGCGTCTTTCAACGGCCTGGCACTGATGCGAGTCATAATGTCATCATTGAACTCGATCCAGTCGTCTCTGAAGCAAGTGAAAAACGACGTTAAGTTGATTGCCTCGGTACTTCCCTATTTTTTTAAACACGGGACAAAAATTCAAGAAGTGATTCTTAAGACTACTCTAAGGGCCGAATCGTCCATCGTTCCTACAATATTGTAGGACGCCTTTATGGCCTCCTTGACTTTGGTAGTTTTTCCTGTCCTTCGAAAACGCAGGGTATTTCCAGATTTCTACTGTTTTGTGTCACCCCTCTATTTCAGGTTAAATTTTCTTTTTGAATTCTAAGAAATTTCAGGCTGACAGAACTTCATCATCTGTTTTATAAATCTGAAATTTTTTAAGATTCAAGAAGAAAACATACCTTCACAATAGCTGACATGGAACAGTAGAAATCTGAAAAACAGAAAAGACTATGACCATCAAGGAGACCATAAAGGCATCCTACAATTGTAGGAACGACTGAAGATAGGGCCCTAAGAGTGCTCTGTCCGTTGACGATTTCGGAGATACATGACCCTGAACGGCGCCAATGGAAATCGGTCTATCTTATGGCCAAGTTCGCAGGGAACAGGGTCTATAATATAAATACCTTAAAATATTCCTTAAATAACTTGAACAACACCATGTTTCAGAACTATTTTTCAAAGCACAGCGTTGCCAGATGGGTCACTACAGAATTTCCCCAGAACAAGCACAAAAATCCCCCAGACTTACAACTTTTTCAAAAGTAAAAAAAGGATAGGTTTGGTTCAAAGAGCGGGAAATTCTTTCTAGCTTAATTTTTAAGAACAATAGTTTATAGTAGAACAGAGTAAAGGAGGGTTGTCTGGCAAAGGCCACCCTGCTGTAATCTAGCTGTACTATAAAGGTCACAGAGAAGGCTCCAACGTCACATATACAGGTAACGTCACAGAAATTCAACGTAATTTTAGGAGCTGTAGTAGTACCACATGCTGTGGTTTTTTGATCTTACCTTACATCGTCAAGTAAAACAGTGGCAATGTAATGGCCTTGAGATAGAGTTCCGCTATGCTGGACTACAGCATAGAGTTTATACACCGAGCTTAAAAATTGTAGCTTGTCCGGAAAACTGACAAGACCAGGATGCTTCATTACTTCATATTTAGAAATTAGGACTCTGTAACAATATCTGTATTTTAGTGAAGGCATTTTGTGACATAAATTGTAAGGATAGACTAAATACTTGAAATACTACTTAAAAATATTTTGTCACTTGCATAGACTACATCATAGCTTGAAATATTGATTTTTGGTCACTATTTTTTCATTAAAATATTCGCCTAGAGACAGCTCTGAGCTATGTATATCTGATGAGTGATGATTATTCTGTGAGATACAATTATTTTGTTCTGTTCTGTTCTGTCTATTAAATATCTGAACAGCTTGAAAACTAAGCAAGTACGCAAAAGGGGTTCCTACAAAAGATTCGAAAGACAAAAGAGGAATTTATTGGCGACTTCTAGATTGACCTAGATAATGTCCTTAGAGGTTATTTAGAAGTCAACTTAGCAAATTCAAATAGCAGCCACCATTTTTGGCAAATGATTAACGATAAGTACGAGATTCTACATATACAGACAAGCTGAAACATCTGAAAACTGTATAAACACTCTGGAAACTTGGCACCACGCATTTGCCGAAAACAGGCTCCTATAAGAGATTTATAAAATCAAATCACCTCTAGTATGAGCTAGACAATGACCTCGGAGGTTATTTGGAGGTCAGCTTCGTAAATTTAAGCAATCACCACTAGTTCTGACAACAGATTCGTGATCAGCACAAGTGGACAAATCAGCAGTTCAATCCGCCACCAAAGATTGCAACTATTTGAATTCACAAACTTGGCTTCCAAATTACTTTTGACGTCTAAATCACATCCCTTTTTTTGACTTCCTGAAGCTTTAGCATAGACCCTTTAAAAAATGCGGTTTAGACTAGTTTCCGGTGCATTTGTGATCTTTTGAGGCCTGCCCAATTGACCACTTTTGATTGCGTGACGAATATGAACACCAAAAATGGTAGATGATAATCCAAGTTTACGAGGTTGAACGCTAAATGACATCTGAGGTCATATTAAAGGTCATCGGTATATTATTTTTTTGGTCTCCTGAAACTGTTGAGAAAATATTTTTTCGAAAAAAAAATGTGTGGCACTACAGCGTTTGTGTACTTTGCAGACGTTACAGCTTCGCATAACGGTTTCTCTTTTGACACCGACGGAGCCGCGCAGGCAGAAGCCTAAATGGCAGGGCAATGCGGGTACTATGATGATCCCAAGGAAACTTTGTTAATCCGATTTTTGAGCTGCCTATGGTTAGTAGAACTGGGAAAAGCCTTCTCTTGTAGTTTGCTCCACAATCTCGACATCCTGGGATGGGAGGCGGAAGTCAGGCAGGTCTGTTTGGCATGCATCAAGGAGGAGAGCAAAGACAGTTGGTGTAGCGGTAGAAGAGAGCTAGATCGCCGTCGGCCCGGCGGTGCCAAAGGATCCTGAGACTGTCTGTTAAAGATCAGTAATTGATCAGCCGGACGGCCCTCCTCTGGATAACATCGAGCATGGATAATGTAGTCCAGGCGGCATCACCTCAATCGTGTGAGCAGTACTCGAGGCTAGGTCTTACCTGGGTCTTGTATAGAGTGAGGAGGTCATCCGGAGAAAAGAACCTTTTAGACCTGGCTTTTTCCCACCAGCTGCCACTATTGACGAGATGTGTTCGAGATAGATCATGTCCTCGAAGATCTGGACTCTGACCAGAAATGAACGGTTCTTTGGCAGAACTCGGCCATCCATCGAAACCGGATGAACGCTAGCACGCTTTTTGTTCGTCAAGGTACAGTACTGTGTTTTGGAAGCATCAAACTGTATAAGATTGTTGCGTCCCAAAGCAGTGATAACCTACAGGTCTATGGTCAGGGAGGAAATCGCTGCTAGTCTTTTTTCCAGCAAGGGTGGTTGCTACTTGAATTTGAGAAGTTAACCTCCTATTATTTAGGTCATATTAGAGGTCACTGATATAATCCTTTTTTAATCTCATAAAACTTTTGCTAGACTCTTTTTTCGAAATAATGCATGGTTCTCAAATTTTCGGGCTGTTCATATATTCAATAGGAGGAACTAAAGATAAGACGACTGCACACTTTTAAAAATCCGCAGTATAATCCTTACCTTTTCAGACATATAATCAACGTATCTGGGTCTACGACGACAGATCTCTTGTTCACGACTGCACCAATGTTCTTGCATATCTCGCACTGATAGTCTTTTTCAGTGGCTTCGGCCAGATAATCCTTGATCAAATCTTCTAATTCACAGGGTAACTAAGTTCTGCCGCATGGCAAGATTTAGGATACCCTCTGTTTCGAATGAACAAATCTTCTTTTGGCAATGAGTGCAAATTTTCTCATCCCTAAGTTGATAGTACGTTCTATCCACCAAAAAGCTCGATCGCCCTTGTAGAGCGCTATACCAAGCTTGTTCACTATCCGTCATAACCTAAATGAAAAGTATCGTTATCTCATCGAAAAATTAAAAACCTGTGGTTTCAATGTTACTAAGCTTCTTCAAATGACATCCACATATGAAGGTTGATCCATGCGTCCTGGCTATCCTCATTACAAATGATCTCAGTACTCCATTTTAACAAAATACTAAGTACATATGTCAAACTGGTCTGAAATGATGTGCTTTTTGATTCATGTGGGACAAGAATTTTGATAGAAATCCTCTTGAGCAGAGAAGCAGAATTATTTGCAGAAAAAATGGCGTCACGTAGGTTAACTAAAAAAAAACTTAGTTACAAACATGTACAATTGAAAAACTAAGCCGATCAGGTCAGTCAAACAGGCCCACACAATTGGTCTATAGACATTCCTTAGCTGGTCCCTGGTTCCCATATCGTCAGCCACCGCAGTACGAGCAGAATAATCAAGCAGACCGTCACGTCGGGCACTGAGCCCAGATCGCAGAAGGAGTCTCGTTTAGAAAATATTTCTCTTTAAAGACAACCTATGATATGTGATAGGTGCGTAGGGTTACCGGGGTTGGGAGCTTATACGAGGCTTGTTCAATAAGTACCCGTGTTTGATGGCAGAGGGCGTCCCTGAAGAAGGTTGGTTATCATCGTGTACTGCCATCTATCAAACGATGGCACAATAAATTTCAGACTCATTGATAGGTTGGTTTGGATTTGGCGGCCATTCGAGTAACACGTGTTTCGTGATTTTCGTCAAGATGGAAAAAGCAGTATCGTGCGGTAATTTGCTTTTTGTTGTGTAACGGTTTCACCGTCCGATCGTATTTATTAAATCACTTCTCGATTATCATTTCATCTCTAGCTTTTTTACTTGGAAACATTCCCGCTTGGAGCGCGCTTGATGCGGAGTTCCTGATCTGCGATCTTCCTCGCGCTTCTTTTTCACTTGAGCCGCCGATCTAGCAAGAGCTAAGAATTTTGTTCTCTGTAGCATGAGGTCATATAGCACCATGTGCTAGAATTTTGTAGAATGTGTGTCCGAATAGGACGAAATGGTGAGTTTTATAATACTATACAGTTTTATTGCTGGGTCTGCCTGTAGTTTATAGATAGTCGATATGTAAGTGGTTTATTTCTTGTACGATTTTAAAATATCCATCGAACGTCATTTTCGACTACTTCGATCATTCGCCATAACTTTAATCAAATCGAGGTAGAAATCGATCCACATCGATTTTAACTCTGTTTGCGTATATGTATTCATCATAGTTCAGTGAAATTATGAGTACGTTGATTATGAATATTCGATATTTGTGTTTTTATATCAGAAGCATGTGGAGAAATTTTTGATGACCACCATCTTGTTTTACGCTTTTTTTGCTATTTCATGATTTTATTTTATGAAAGGCATTTCCAATTTTCGGTTTGATTTTATCAAACTATGTAATGTAATTCTAACCTAGAAAATCGTTGGTTCTCTTTTGAGGCAGACTGAGATTGGAAATGCCTTGGCCATTAGGACACGTTGCTAATGCACACGGTTCTTTTCCAGATTGGGGCCACCCCCTTTCCCTTTCCCTTTCCCTTTGTCTTTGACTTTTGCCTTTTCAACTCATGTAGTCTTTGACTTTGCATTGCTTGGCCTATCACTTCACCCATGCATGTGCCTTGGCAGCGCCATCACCTTTAAGTTCAACTTCGCCTACAACTGGTTTTGAAGCCACTAAATGTGAGGTCACCCCTCATAACTGGGGCCTCCACTTCAAGCACCTGGCCATCCTCGCTTCAGTCCAGTCAAAATGGACCAGCGAAAGATAAGTGTATAGTTTTATAGCAGCGCCAAAGAATTAAAACTTATTTTGTTCTTTAAAATTGTAATGTAATGAAAATGCTTTTTTGTTAAATAAAATCTGTTAAATTTTTGTGTTCTCTTTGTTCTTCTATCCTCTAGCCATGCCATGGTCGACACACAGCTACACGCCTGTAGATGTCTTCATGCCACCGACTGAGCTACCGGAAGCTAATGGTAACCCCCTTTCTGTGATTGTGCAGAAAAGTTGGAATCTTCATTGTATTCCACCTTTTCTGGCCTTTTTGCGGAAAGGAAGGCTTACATAAATTGGCACCCGCAACGTGAGGCTTCGATTGGTGTTTGGCTTTGTCGACAAGTGGTTTGCTAGTGGAAGATTGGCAGACAGAACATAGTTTTCAAAATTCTTTACAATTTTTGGCAGCATTTCTATTTTTAATTACTTTTGGTACTCAAATTTCTAATTCTTTAATCATCCTTACTTTTTGCTTAATGTTTAAAATTTTTATCAAAAGATTAAAATTTTTCCACCTGTTTATTTCATAGGCGTACTATGCTCTATTAACTTTTAAAATTGTCTTGTTTAGTAGTCAGCGAGATCATTGCCAGAATTTTTTTCTCACATACTACTATAGTTTTTATTTACTGCTGGGGACAGTTATAACTTTTTTTCTCATTATAGTTTTGAGATCGATGATATTTTGATAATTTTTTGTTGAATATTGATAGTCTGGGGACTTTAGGTTTTCCAGCATTTTGTCGAATATCATCAAACTTTTGATTGAGGTTGTGACTATTGTTGTTGATAGTATATATATATTCTTATATGCTTTTCATTTTTGATCACCAGCCTCTTAGTTTTTGAAAGTATTTCTTCATGTGCAGTTTTTTGATTTCTTGAGACTTTTCATGTATGCATATATAGCCTAATTGTTGGATCTCTGGTGTACTGATATAGCTCTCATGATGTTTGGTACGTAGGAAATTTACTTTCAAAATTATTTTTGCCTTCCCCAAATGTCTTTACTTTTTGAATTTTTGACTGTACTTGAACTTTTGATCATTTGTTTTCATTCTGATGGCAATAATCTACTGACTAGAGTTATCTGGAGTAAATCATTTTGCGATTTATCCATTTGTCTGAATTGTATGAAATTGATATTCATAATTTTTCGTATATTTTGGCGGTTTACTTTTTTTTCAATTATTGACACTTGGACATAGTGCGTTGATACTTACCTTTTTTTTTCAAGAAACAAATGATGTTTTTCTTGACTATATTTTTGCTACTTTTCAATGGGGGGTGACTCCTAAATCATTTTTACCTATACAAAGACACACATTCTCATTTATGATAATTAAATTTCAACTTGTTGTTGAAATAGTATACGTTCCTAAGTAACTATTGTAGTAATTTTGTCTCTTGTTTGGAGCATAAGTTTTCATAATTTTTATGGTTTCATAGTTTTATCTGGCATATTCTTTGGGGGAAATTAGAACATTAGTATCTGATTTTCCATTGGATTAACAGGACTTGAACGTCTCTGTACTTTTTTTAATGTATGTGAGATATAAAATAATTTTTTTGGTGAGGATGAGACTGAGATAAGACTCTCATTCAATAAACTCACTGAGATGATCTCTAGATTTGCTGGTGCATTTGATTCTGTTGAACATCGCAGAATTTGTGTGCGCTTATTGCATCTATCTGGTAGGATAGATCGAATGTCTCCTACTTGCGATGAGGAGATAAGTACAAAATCTAGATTGAAGACACAACTTGTTGTGTGTGAATCTGATCTTTTAGAGAAGCTTGAGATGCCATCTGCTCAATCATCTCCTCCATCAGTTTCATCTCGTCCTATTCCATTGGCATCAAATCCGCCTGTGACTGTTGCTAATCCTCAAGTATTCCCTCTAGTACATACACAGCCACTCTATCCTATAAATTTTGCTCCACATAAAAAGATACCAGTGTTCAAATGGGGAATCAAAACATTTTCTGGAAATAGCTCAGTTATTGAATTTCTAGAAATTGTCGAATCTCTAATGTCTTCCCGTGGTTGCAATGAGATGGATCTCTTTGCATCTGCAGGTGATCTCTTTGAAGATGTAGCCTGGACATGGTGGCATAATGGCCATCTAAGAAATAGCTTTCATGATTGGCAGGACTTGATTAAACAACTCAAGGATGCTTTTCTACGTGACAATTATGATATGAACCTAATTGATGAGATTCGTAGACGCAAACAAGGTCAGCATGAACATGTTACTATCTTCATTTCGTTCATGGAATCTCAATTCAATAGATTAACCTACAATACATTTACAGAAAAGGACATGGTCAATATTGTCCGTAGAAATTTATTGCCTGACTTCATAAAGTCACTTGCTCTTCATGAAATTTCCACTTTTCCTGAACTAACATCACTTTGTAGGAAATTAGAGGATTCCTTCTTGACTTGTCAACCCCACAATAGACTTTCCACTTCCAGCTTGGTTACTTCTGATAGTACTCAATCATCTCACAGAAAAGCTCCTGTATGTTGGAACTGCGAAAAACTAGGACATTCTGTTCGAGATTGTAGAGCTCCTAAGGCTGTTTATTGCTATACCTGTGGTATGAAAAATGTCACACGCTCTAGTTGTCCTTCCTGTTCAAAAACGTGAGGCAAGAAGTTCCCAACCCGACTCCCGTTTATTCAAAAACCAAATGACAATCGTCCACATCTTTCAATATCCATTGGTGATGAAAACATTTTAGCTTTGCTTGATACTGGAAGCAATGCCAACATTCTAGGTTCATCTGGGTTATACTTATTACGTAAATTAAATCTCAACATCGATTACAGTAGTATCTTGCAATTAACAACTGCTGATGGCCAGATGCAAAATACTTTAGGTTTTGATTTGCTACCAGTAGGTTTTAATGGCAAAGTTCATGTCATTAAATTCATA